CTCCTTTTCCAGGAGTTAAGGATTTTTTCCAAATCTTCTAGTTTCTTATCAAAATTAAGACTTTCACATTTGCTTCTATCATTGGAGAAGTGGATACCTAAAGCATAAACAGAATATTCTGGCCAGCGAAACTCGAATAGTGTGTCCTTCCTTGTTGCCCAGCAGCCCAGCCACACGGCCTCTGTTTTTGATTTATTCAGTTCTAAGCGTGAGCAGCCTCTGAAATTTTCTAATGTCTCAAGTAACATCTGCACTGAATCTAGATCTCAGAGAAGAAGAGTAGTGTCATCTGCATATCAGGTATTTTTTATTTCCTCTTCTCCAACCTTTATTCCCTTGATGTTGCTATTCCTTTGAATTGCAAGATTAAGCAGTTCTATTCCAAGAACGAAAAGGAGTCCTGATAACGGACAGCCTTGTCTTACTCAACGTTCAAGGTTAAAAAAGGGGGATGCAAAACCGTTGTTTGAAACAAAGCTAGAAATATCAGTGTAAAACACTTTAACCCATCTTTTGAAATCTTGCTTGAAGTTAACAACATCTAAGACTTTGTGCAAGTATTCCCATTCGATTGAATCAAAGGCTTTCTTAAAGTCAAGAAAAAGGGCGACCCAGAGCTAACCTTTTAGCTGAACATTGAATGCATTGAACTCCTATATCGAATGTGTCAATGCCTTCGCTGTGATTTTTGCCGATCCACAATGGGAGGGTTACAAATTCCACTCCCTACTGCGCTCAGATTAGGCAAGTTCAGTGCTGAGACAAACGTAAATTTTCCAGCCCCTCCCTTTAATCACATCTCTGGAATCTGCAAAAATCTAGCAGACACATGACCAGCTGCAACCAGGGTACTTTCTCGAGGTAGAGAGAGGACCCTGGGAACGAGGTTGCTCAGTCTTGCATCGAAACGTTGGTTAACAATACTTTTAATCTTTCTTGTCAAATTCTTTAACAAGCAACTTGTTATTCGATCTCATAATGTATTTACCCAGGATTTTCGTGACTTTTTTTCCTGCTTAAACAGTACTGATCAAGATCCTGTGTACATACAACCACATTTACAATTTTACAAAAACATAAGTAGGAGCTGTGATTAATGGCAAATTTCCATTGGAAAGCAGACCATTATGCAATGTACATGTAATGCAGCTGTCTTCTCAAATTGTATGCTGTGGTGGCTCACAACTGCAAGGGCTTAAATTACCGGGTAATTCCGGTTTCCAGCTGTATGGTAAAGGATTGGATTGTTAGTGCTCCCCCTGGATGAGATACTAGTCAAGCATAGTTATCCAACGGTATTTGGTTTTATATGTACCATTATTTATTTTTTTCAACTTCACCTAACTAAAATACTTAGATACTGGTACATAAAATGTTTACTAGGGAGGGAAGACCACTACAGCCTAGCCAACTACACAGTGGATCCTTCATTAATAAGAATTAAACTAAAGCTACTCATTTATAAACAAGAAAAATTAAAAGGAAACAAAACAGAAATTCAAATGTACCAAGGTACCATTAGCCTTCAGGATACAACACAACAGTAGAAACCAGCAGAACCAACACCAAAATACCTCATCACTCTTTCCAGTCACAAATTACACAGACAATCCAGTGAACTGACCAAGACTCAAAAGAAATACATGTTGCTGACATGAAGTGCAGAGACTTGTGCTAGCAAGTCATGATTCATTTTGGTTTAATTTCTGATTTGGATGACACAGTGATACAAGTTTTTTAAGACATTAGTGCCTATAAGCCAATTGCATAGCATATGCAAAGCCAAACCAAATGCAAATCAAGGCTGTTGTCTAAGAAAAAAATATTAATTACCAGGAGCCCAATTAGGTTCCTAACCATGAAAGCACTTGAGCTTATATGAAAAACAGTAAGTTTGGTCACTAAAAGGCAAAAGGTAGTCACCTGTGGCACCCAGGCACTCCTAGAGCACAGCCCTGAACATGTTCACTTTTGACCCTCAGCCAGGCCCTCCTAGAGCACAGCCCTGTGAATATTTACTTTCAACCTTTGAATGAAAACCAAGAAAAGAAGTCTATATCTCTGTATTATGTTGAATAACATTATTTCCCATCACCTGATCTCCTTTTCTTAGTCCAAAGGTATGCACCCTGACAGTTTTTACACACTGGAGTTACTGGAGAAGACTGGACTTTGTGTTGTACCAGGAAATGGGTTTGGACAGAGGGATGGAACTTTCCACTTTAGGTAAGGCATTCAAGTGATACTCTATTCAAGCCAACACTTCAGAACTTGGAACGCTTGGAAATCTTTATCTGTGTGTTGTTATTTGTAGAGGGGGGTCACTTTGAGAAGTAATAGGTATATCAAACAAGAGAGATGTAGTATTTTACCATAAATATTTATGTTTCTTGCTCTGTTCATTTTGCAGGCTGACAATTTTACCTCCCATTGATGCCCTAAAACCTCTATTTGAACGTTTTAAAGTCTTCCATCAAGATTTTATGCGCAAGTACCGTGATCCCAGCTCCACTCTTTAAATTTGAATGTTTCTGTGTTCTACCAATTGTAATCATTTGTGTGGAAGAGGTGAAACTGTATTTGCATCAAGGATTAGAATCCGTTTACTGGAATTTGATCAAGCAAGCTGTATTTTGCCAGCATGGGTATTTAGTAGAGTGCAAGCAGTTGAACAAGAAGTTAAAAAGGCAAGAGAGGGAGATGGTGTTTTGCCATTTTTGCCTCCCATGATCTGCTGAAGGGAGTGCACACTCACAACCTAGAGCCAGGATCACCTACAGATCAATGGATTTGATGGACATTGGTTAACAATAATATATCACATTTTCAATACACAGTCTGATTGTTACAGGGTAAACCACCCTGGGTGGGGGGGGGGGGG